AATATGTATATATATATATATACATATTATATATATATATACATATTATATATACATACTATATATAATATGTATATATATATATATACATATGTATATATATATACATATTATATATATATACATATTATATATATACATACTATATATAATATGTATATAATTTATTTATATATGTATATATATATATATAGTATGTATATATATATATATATAATATGTATATATAAAATATGTATATATAATATGTATATATAATATGTATATATAATTTGTATATATATATATTTATATTATGTATATATAATATGTATATATAATATGTATATTTAACATGTATATTTAATATGTATATATAATATGTATGTATAATATGTATATATAATATGTATATATATATAATATGTATATATAATATGTATATATAATATGTATATTCTCAAATGAGATTGGCAGCGTCACCGTGGATTCCACCTTGCAGCCGCCTCGCTGCACACTTCTGTTTTCCTCCTTGCGTCCAACGCTCGTAGCCTATGGCAAAAGCTATGTCCTCACCCGCCTCTGGCTCACCTTGAGCCTTCCCCAGCTGAAGGCAAGCAAATGGTTGACCCCTGGGTTATGCACATCACGATCATGCATGATTTCACATGCATTCTACGATCTTTTGTTCGTGATGTGCTCCTTCAAACCATCATCTTTCAGAGTAAAGCAAATTGGCCAAAAACGGTTGGAGAGCAAAGAGAATTTTCCCATCGGTGAGTAATCATGGATTACAACCCAAAGACAACCAGTGACGACTTGGCTTTTCACTGAACATTGTCATACCCTGCTGGATTGGGCTAAGATTGGTCTTGGTGAGTGACTTTCGACGGTTCGGCATTCTGCTGAAGCCATTTCAGTTGTGATCTACGATCCGATCTGGCACGGAGAATTTCTGATTCATCATGTAGGCTATACCATCCAGATTTCAAACAAGCACGCAACATTGAACAATCCATGATCTTCGTAAGGGCATCAGCAATCTGAGCACCTGATGGTACCCACCTGATCTGTATTCCATTATGCAAATGTTCCTTGATTAGCTTCGCCTGTAGCTGTGTCCGGAATTCTTGGCATGCTGGTGGCGCTGTCCGACTGATTAAATCAAAAAGGCTCTTGCAGTCGGTGGTTAAGATACCCTTGACACTGGTTTGTTCTAATAATGCTTGACATTCCAATGGAAAAGTTTCTGATGAATCGGTGTCTTCATCCTGATGCAGTGCAGAAAAAGCTGGAGGAAGTTTCTGTAACAAATTGTCTGCCCGACGCCAGTCGCAGTTCGCATCTACCAGCCAAGCCCAATAAAGTCGCACCCATGACAGGCAATCCGCAGCTCCTGCTAGAGCCATTGCCTCTGCAGAGAGTGTGCTTACGGCCACCCGTTGTATTTTCTTTGAATGCCAACAAATTGGATTGATGGGACTTCGCTGATTGTGACCTATATTCTTATGAGCTGCCATGACGATCATACCTTGATGGGAGTCTTGGACCTTTTCAGAAGCAAACGAGGCATCAGAAAATGCTACAAAACGTAAATCATCTACTGCTATGGGTTGGATTCGCAGGGACACTGAGGAGTGTTCTTTGGCTTCATGAAGAATTCGGTTGGCCTCAAGCAGTGTGGCTACTTTGGCCTTATTGACTTGGCTTTGCAACCACCCCAGCCTTGCACATAGATCTGGCCGTGAGTTTACAGCACCATACAAAAGGCTTCCGATCAAACCTCGAAGGCTTTGTCTTTCTTTCTCATTCACAACATCCTCCTGTTGAACTCGACGTGCTCTTGACAGTGAAATTGGTTGAATGTCCTTGATATATTGTTGCTGGTCAACTGTAATTGTAAAATCATCTTGCTGTTTGATGTGTAGTCCTGTGAAGGTAAATTCTTTCTGTTTCTGACTGCCAAAAGGAAATTTCTTGGAGAGTTCTTGTAGTTTTTCATGAAAGAGAGCTGAGCCACAACAGAGACCATCATCGACATGAACACCTACGATCCCTTGTGTTATCCCTTGACCATCTACCAATACAAACGTACATGGGTCAAATGGTGCTGCTTTGAATTGCAAACTTTCCAGTGCTGCTTTCAGTTCTTGAAACCAAAGGTATGGTGCATCGACACGTCCATAGGCTCCTTTCAGAAGCTGTAGGGCTTCTCCAGGCTTCATTTTGAGTCGCTGTCGCATTTCAATTGGAGGTTCCAATCCAAGGATTCTGGAACCTTGTTCTTGACCCCTGAGAAACGCAGTCTTGATGTCAAAGCTCCCTATGGTCCATTTGCGGCTGGCGGCCATCTGTAGAATCAACATTCGGGACAACTTTGACATGGTTGGACTATCCCTAGGAATAGAGTCAACTTGGGGATCCTCATATCCTAAAACCACTAGTCTGGCTTTAGCCTTTTGGAGAGGTTTGTCCTGTCTTTGATCGGACGAATCTCCTGAGGGTTCCACATCTTTCCAAGTGAGGATCCATCGGCATCTCAAAATGTTTTCAGCTGGAATCTGATGGCGCAGAACTTTGGCTACAGTTTCAGTCGCAAGCCAACTGTCGATTTCATTGGTTTTTGCTTCGGCAAACTGTTTCTGTTGTTCAGGCGTCAAATTGGCGAGTTTGACCTCCGACCGTTGACGTTTTGCCGCTGACACCAGAAAGGCCATTTCATGTGGAGTCGCTTCTCTTCTCCATGTGTTGATGTCTTGCTGACATATATCAACTTCAAAACACCATGCTTGATCTTGGTCAAGATGCCAACATTCTTCACATATCAAATCAGTGTCACTGTCATCCGGTACAGGGATTTCCACATGATTTGGTTCCATGTCTGGTGTTGTGCTTTCGGATGACTGTTGAATTTCGGGTTCATCATCTGGCTGTTCCGAACCATTGGAGTGTCCATGGGGGCTTGCAGTCTGAGTGATTTCTGTGGCAGGAGATTCTTCTGGTACTTGAATATCTGGCAGTTGATTTATCATGTTATTATGAGGGTTACTTCCAGTTGGGTTATTTTGGTTATCAGGTGGATGACTATTGATTAAGTTGTGATATTGCACACCTCCATGACTTGGAATGACCGAGGGCAGGATGTTTTCAGGTGACTGACCCGAGGCCAGGGTCTGCTGATGAGTGGTCTCCTCCATTGCCGATAGGGATCGAACATGTTCTGGTGCAACTCGATAAAGTTTACCACTTCCCGTGACCCAAAGCACATGGGGACTTTCTTGTATCACCACTTGAAGGGGTCCATGCCATTGACCATCCGCTTCTCCCCTTTTCTTCCAAATCATGACCCATTCCCCTTTTGAGTAGTTACCCCTAGATGGACGACTACGGTGAACCATGGCTCGGCGAAGCACTTGATGATTGTCTACACTGGCAAAAGCCTTCCTTGCGCGCTCTCTGAGAGCCAGTTCTTCCCGGAAACGAATGCCATCCGGTGACTCCTCTAAGGCTGCGGTGTGTGATGCCATGGATAAATCGCTGATCACTGATCCTACAACCCTCCGGGACTTCCCAAACACCAAAAGCTCAGGCGGATAACCTCGGTGGCGACTCCATTGATTCTTGGTGTGTGTTGCAAACGCTAATGCATTGGATAGCTGTTCCATTGAGGAAATTGGTTCTTCGGCATCCATTTTGTTCAAAATTTGCTGTAAGATCCCTCCATGGCGTTCAGCACGGGCATTCTGCCAATGAGCCTCTGGAGCAATGGTCTTCGCTGGAATACCATGTTTGTGTAGAAACTTGGAGAACTCTTCAGAGTTAAGTTCCGTTGCTGCATCTACACATAACAATCCTGGAGGTCCGGCCCATGAAATCCATCCATGCAACAAGGCGTGTATGGCTGATCCCGCACTGGTGGATGGAACAGCTACTGCAGTTTGGTAAGACGTGCTTTGGTCGACAAAATGATAGAAAACAAATTGTTCCCCTTGTTGATTTGTCCACTTCACGGCATCCATGGAAATTACATCTCCAAAATCACCAGGTGCATGGATTGCTGCGGGTCGAGCAATTTGTGGAGTCTGTTGCTCCTGGCAGGTGGAGCATTTCAGCTCTCGGATTCCATTCTGAATTTCCGTTGGACAACCTAACTGCTTGCAAAATTCCACCAGCTTAGCAGCACCGGGATGACCTAGATTTCTATGGAGCTTTAGAATCCATGATTGTGTTTCTTTTCCAAGTTTCAAAAAGGCAGGACCGTGCTTTTCATGTGCTAAGTCAACTACATGCCTATGGTCACCTGGTGGAACCGGTTGACTTTCAGGGTTATCCGGTGTTACCTTGGCTGACTCACGACAAACACGCTTGGGAGGAGATCCATCACTCATTTCGGGAACTTCATGAGTCAACGGAGTTGACGCACTCTGTGACTGGCTCACTGGCGGTGCAGTGCCAGCAGGCACTTCGGAAACTTTGATGCGAGCAAACACGGTCAGACTCACGCGGGCTGGCACGGCCTTCCGCCGCAAGGCTTTCAGTGACAGTCTGCTCCATGGTTCCCATTCATCTTCCACTTCAATGGTTTCTAATCTCCTGCGTATGCATACCCTTCGACGTAATGGTGCGTCAAAGGCTTGAAGTGCTTTGTTGGGTCCAACACACCGATCTGTTCCCCTACAGAGTACCACATGCTGAACATCGTGAAGAGGACACATGCGTTTGACTAGATCTATCAATGCTCCATGTTCGACTACCTTGATGCCAACCCTTGGAGCAACCTTGTCGGCTTCCTGCATCACGATTTGCCAGGAAGGGCTCTGGAAACGTTCGGCGATTTGCTGTGGACTGAGTTTCTGACCCAGGCGACGTTTCTTGGTTGGATGCTGGTCTTCATCTTCGTTGGCAAGTATGACATGTGGTTTGGATACCTCATGCAACATGACTTTGGCAAGTGTCTTGGCAAACTTTGGGGGATAATGTTGAGTGAACTTCGACATGGGCATGGATTTTCCTTGCCATACTGTGGAGCCTGCAACATGTTGATGTTCATGATCTTGATGACAAAACTTTCCATGGATCTCATGATACATGTCCTCCGAGGTTGACAGCACTTGCAAACGTTTCCTTATGGGCGCATGTGATCTGGGATCTTGAAGATTCCCAACCCGGCATAAATCAAAACGACACAAGTAGCAGCATTGATGGACTTCTTCCAACTCCGGAAACTTGAACATGTCTGAGCCTCCAGGCTGTTCCCAGTGAAAATGGTTTCCCTGTGATACCTGTAACCGGTACAACACAACCCCTAAGGCAATTTGCCATACATGCTGGAAACGTTTGTACATCAATTTCTCTTCATGTTCAAGTGATTTCCCCATGTTCAGGAAGTTCCACATTGACCATGGACCACATTCAGGGCTGTACCATAGACTCTTTGGCTTACGGAGAAGGATGAGTCGGAACAACCGCATTCTGTCGGATGCTTGCTGAAGGTCCCCTTCTGTGAGGCCAAAACGTTGAGCACTTCCACTGAGTTGAAGGACCTGTTTGGTAAGTTCACTGTTTTCCGAACACATGACTTCCAACACATCGAGCCTGGATGATCGCATAGAATCAAAATTGAGCCGTCGGAGCATGTTGATTTCTTTCTCAAACACCGTGACCCACTTCTGAAATTCCTGTGAAAAACTCATGGGATGAACAGAAGCATGAAATTCAAATTCCACCTCAGCAGGATCTGTCAAGTCCTTCAGATGTGAATTTGCCCAGTCTAGTGCATGGAGACTCATTGCCTCCTGGTCGCGGAGCACTCTCACATCTCGGCCTTCACCTGGATGCCCTTGATGTGAGCGATCAGGTCTTGAATCGCATTCTCGATCCCACACATCCTCTGATGCATGTTGTGGTGATTGGCCTGCATGTTGGTCATCTGTTCCTGTAGATCCATCACATGACTGTTGGGCATTTCTTCCTCTGACACATTGTCCCACTCGATCAGACTGGGATCTGGAGACACCTTCACAGGGGTCTTGGTCTTGGAGAAGATCATTTTGCTTCCACTGGGATTCATCTTGTCCGGGCTCGGACAATTCCCGGTTTCGGCATCCAGTTGCTTCTCCACGAAGATCAGGAACTTCTGGTGTGCAGGCTTGTTGCTCTTGGTGTACGTGGACACGAACCACTCGGCCCAACGGCTGTCCTGAAAGGCCTTCAGATAGCTCTGGCCTCGATATTTGTCTCCGAAGTCCACAGTCAGTTGTTTCATCTCGGACAACGGCATCTTGCGAAAGGCTTCGAGGCTTTGTACATCCTCCTCGAGGCTGGCTTTCTGTGCACGAGCTTTCATTCTCTGGCCTAGGCTGGACATGTTGGGACACACCGCTAAAGTGAGAGAGATCGCAATTCACCTGGGGCTCTGCGAACTTGGGCCTAGACATGTTTCCAGGACACTTTGAATCGAATGCTCCAATGGACGGCTGAGATTCCTCTGGGCTATTCCTAGAGATGTTCTGATCGAATGCTTTGATGGTGTTGGAATCCACTGACCGCCGCCAATGCTCATTTTCCAACGGCACCTGAGAGGAGATGTCGGTCTTGACATTCGCTTGAAATTGGGCCTCCATCACAAGACCTTCCTGAGTCTGATTTCCAGTTTCCCACAGCTCGTTGATATCTAACATCATCAAATTGCGGGGTGAATTTCCAACCGGCAGGGCACGATTCAACACTCTACTCCATAGTTGATTTTGTTCCACATCAATCACAGCACCAATCTGTTTCAGAAAACTGGCTGACAACAAAAAAGGAGTGTTTCCTTCCACAATTGCTACTTCAAACCACATGCCATGCAATGGAAAAAGTAGAGCATGCTGTGAGCTCAGAGTCTGATGGTTGCCAAAACGGAAAACTAAATTGCAGCTGGTACGGCGGATTTGGGACCGAATGTGTGTCGGCACACCATTGAGAATCTCATTCACTTGTTTGCTTCCTACCACTGTTCGGGAAGCTCCTAAGTCCACGATGCCAACGGTGCCCGAGGATGCAAAACAAGCTACATCAATTCGGCTGTCTTGTGAGATTTCTTCCTGCTGCAAGTGGTTTTCATGTTTTGGAACTTGAGTTGGAACACTGGACACCTTTGGCTTGGACACTGCGGTGACGGCTGACCTACGGAAAGAGTCACTGGTGACTGTCAGTCGGTGCCTCAGTTTGGATCCGAAACGAGCTGCCCAAAACCTTGACATGTTCCTACCCCGACTTATCTTATTTACCCCACTATGCCCCAAGTTATCCACTACCTGCACATGACATTCATGAAAACTGGGTCTGGCATGCGGATCAGTTGCACTCAGGGTTGGCTGATCCATCACCGGAACATCGATCACAGTGGCCAGCACAGGGTCAACAATGGCAAACGACGTGGGCACTACGGTGGCAGAGGAGCTGCCACTGGTGGCGGATGCTTTGTTTGGGCACTCTGCTTTCCAGTGCCCTTTCTGATTGCACAGCCGGCAATGGCTGTTGGCGATCCTCTGTGCGAGGCTGGAACCTTTTCCTTTGCCAGGGCCTTTGCCCTTCCATGCACCCTTCTTTCCAAAACCTTTCTTCACTGGCCAGAAACCACGAACTCTGACACGCTCGCTAAGGCGGCGTCTGGCATCTTGGTATGTGCTGAAAAAAACGGCCAAGTCATGATCACCTTGGACTACCTCTGCTACTGCATCTTCGAATTGGAGAATCATACTCGCATCTTCATCGTTATCGGCAGCTAAGGCCTCGATGGCCTCATCATCCCATGCATCATCATGTCCATAGTATGCTTCTACTTCAGATTCATCACGCTCTTCTGCAGCAAGGGTCAAGTGGTCATAGACCTTCTGGCTCTTTTCACGGCGTTGACCTGTCATGTCTTGAAAAAAACTGGACCCCAACATTCTGATTGCAGCTGAGACCTTTCTCAACTCCAACTGACCACCATCCTCAGCACCCGACTCAACGATCACTCGTTTCTTGTCTTCGGGGGACAATCGGCTGCTTCGCAAAGTGACATATGCTTGGAGTTCACTCAGAGAAAGCTTCCTAGATAGCAGTTCTGTCCAGGTCACGTCCATTCGAGCAAGGTAAGAGTCAGATGTTTCATCACTTTTCTGTTGCGTTCTGTAAAGGGCTCTTTCAGCTAACTCAAATTTCTGCTCCAGCGGCACTTGACCCCAGATACCACCAACGATCTCCACAATCTTCTGAATGCTTTTGGGATCATTTGTCAAAACTTCGGACCTATGCAGTTGTAGCTTTTGGAAGGCCGTTCCCTGACAACCCAACACAAGCCTTGTTGCAAGCTCCTGTATCTTGTTCTCTGGCCAGGCTAGTACCAACATCTCCACCTTCTGAGTCCATGTATCGACAGAATCAGTGGCTGGATTGAACGTTGGAACCAGCATAGCTAACTGATTCGGCACCATCCCAACACTGGTGCCTCCACCTCCATCACTGCTGTCCTCAGCAGGCATTGCTTTGCCGGTTCCTTCACGGAGCAACCGGCTCCGCTACCAATCTCAAATGAGATTGGCAGCGTCACCGTGGATTCCACCTTGCAGCCGCCTCGCTGCACACTTCTGTTTTCCTCCTTGCGTCCAACGCTCGTAGCCGATGGCAAAAGCTATGTCCTCACCAGCCTCTGGCTCACCTTGAGCCTTCCCCAGCTGAAGGCAAGCAAATGGTTGACCCCTGGGTTATGCACATCACGATCATGCATGATTTCACAGTATATATAATATGTATATATATAATATATATATAATATGCATGTATGTGTATATACATATATATATATATAAGGGGTGGTTATTCACATCCATAGATCCAGCTATTTTGGATTGAACAGAAAGGGCGAGCTGACAATCGTCAGAAACACCGTGAACATTTGAAGGGATGGAAGGAAAAACCATCATGCAGCAAACGTGTACCCTCAGGTATCATTGAACGCATTCTCCGTCGTACCCCCATTCAACCAAGCTTAATATACATCAACCGAACGTAGATGTGGAAAACACCATCCTTTGTAGATCAATCTCCCAAAGGGAAACCATATGTTACCATGAGTTTTCCACAGCCATTCTAGTGAACCCCCCAGGTAACATACAACCGCACCCGGCGTTCACCGGTTGCTTCCTAGGATAAGGAGACCAACAAGAACAAACTGAGCTTCGTTGGGGTTCCGCCCAAGGCGTTGCTTGGTGAAGGGTGGGGATATAATGAACATATCTATGTTTGATACTTTTTAATGTATGAGTACATACAAAAATATGCACACACATACGTACATATATCTATAGATACACATACATAATTATATATATACATACATACACTGGGAACGAAAAGGCGAATCTTTAACTTGTGTTTATTCGTTCCTATGGCCAAAAAAACCAAATTGGATATCATTAACTCAACTAATTTTTTGTCTGAAAATAGGGGTACCACCATATTTGATTTTCAATCATCATTTTTACCATTTAACTTTCCCTTTTTGGTATATTCATGTATATTCCGTTTTCAGTCAATCCCACTATAACTACAAAATGGCCGTTACCTGAACTTTCTTGCATCGGTCACTGGGTCACTCCATGTCACTCCATAACTCGCTTGTTATGATCCTTGAGGCAAGCGACCGTAGTGTCTGGCAAGCCATCAGCTCCATGGCTAGCTCTGGACAATATTCCATTTACCCTCTGGTTATGACTACTCGTAACAGTTTGCCATGATATAGATGGCCCATAGAAATAGATGGTTTACGGAACTTAAAGATGGTGGATCTTTTCATGGCAAACTGTTAGTCATAACCGTAACCAGATGGTAGTTCCATGATTTTCGGAAAACCCCCACCAACTCACTGACGTCTCAACTGCTTCACCACTGTGGATTTGGGCCTGGACAAGCCGGATCCTATCTGGAAAAAACAAAGATGCCATTTGAACAAACATTGGAAATTCATTAACAATTGTGATATCCAAGTGCCATCTGGAACATGTTTAAACTCGTTTCAGGTGGAAACTCTTCCGCTGAGAGTTGATGGCACGACACCCGTGGGGCAGACCGTGTCAATCGTCTTCCCATTCGATGCTTGGATCAAGGGAACTGGGGATGGCTCCGAATTTGTGACCTAAGGATATGATATATATATATATATATATAATTATATATATAATTATATATACAGTATATTATATACAGTATATACATATACATATATACATATATATACATACATATATCTACATGATCTCAGCAGAAATTTAAGGGAAGTTATTTTTTGTGCTTCAAACGGAATTCAGATTGTGAAGTCACACTCTCAACATCTCCCAAATGAGGTTGTAATATCCTTTAACTCCCATTGACAACCAAGACATAGGCCCTGGGTCCCACTATGCAAAAAAATCAATGCCAGTCGGCAAACCCCCAGGAACACGAGTTACATTCCCACGTGTCTCTGGTACTCTCTCTTCGGGTTCCAACATGTTCCACGAACTGTAACGAACACCCAACTTTGGTCATGAGTCATTCTTGCGTGCTGAAAAACCACATGTTCGAAGTATCTAATGATTTGAACAGATATAATCCATATTTAACATCTCATCAATCCTGATCACCCCTTCCATCCATTCCAGTTCAAGTTGGGTTTTTGTCACCATGGATTCCATGGATCCCCCAAAACTGGATGAGGAAACTCGCGTTGGTTCCAATTTTCTTCCGTTTTTGCCAGTGACAGATCGAGATATGCTGACTTGATTCATTGTTTGGCATTGTTTGGCTATGTCCATGTGTCCTAGTTGGTTCTGAACTACCTAGTGACCTAGTGGAGTTTTCCCGCTACGTACCGGCGTATCATGATGGATCCGTTGATTCAGTTTTTTTTCGCCCGAAGGGTCCTGGTGAGACATGGTGGGACCATTCCCTTTCTTAACTTCCCAGCACTTCCGATACCAGGTTTCTTTGGATCTCAGGTTTCTGTGATGTTCAGTGTGATGGGATGATGGGACACCAAAAAAAATCTGTGGCTCTTTCGATTTCCCGCTGTTTTCGCCCAAGGAAGTTGTTGCGAATCCGCCCTATGTGAACAAGGTCCTCAAAGTCCTTTGGCTGGCGATCTGATCATGCAACGAATCCCCGACAACGCATCCTCATAGATGAAAGATGATGAAAGCATTTGGCTTTTAGGAAGTCATGGCCAAATGATCGAACTTTGGTGGGTAAATAACATTAAGAATAACATATAATTCAGCCAGATACACCAGATAGGTGGAAAATACATCCAGGATATGGACCAGGGGCCGGATGGTGATCCGGCAAACCATTTCAAGTGGCCAAAAGCGGCCAAGTACTTGTTCGGCTTGGACCATATTTTGGGCGGCGATGTCTTACCGCTATCATTTGTGAGTCGAGCACGTGATTTTGATTTCTGTTTGAATGGTCAATTCAGCTAGCATGTGGTCAGTAAATATCACTAACCCCGGGCAGCAAATTCCACATTCCTCATTTGCCTGACTTATAACTGTTAAATCATTGGTTATTGAATAGTTGCTATCCATTCCTGTGGCCCCATTATGACAATTTTCAATAGATT